ATCTATTAACAGATTAGACCAAAATCAAATGCAAAATAATTCATTCAAAAGGGAATAGATCACTCACACTAATCCCTTAATTAGTTTGAGAATAATAAATTGACTATTTTAGTCTTGATTTTAATCCAATTTCTAAACACTGAATAAAGGTAAAATACTGAATAAAATTGACTTTAAAATTGACTTTAAGAGAACATGATTTCTTTTTTTAAAATTGACTTTATGAGAACATTATCTTTTTTTTTTTTATTATCAAAACTCTCAAATTTTGAATTTTTCAGATTCATTTCAATTTTCAGATTTTGAATTCAATCATACAGTTTACAGTCTTATTTTCTGGAACAAAATGATCATATATATGTAAGCATGTGGACCTCGAATTGAAATTGCCAGTCCACCTTATGAATTTCAATTCTCAATTCTGAATTATATGAATTTCATAATATGACATTAACAATTCTAAATTATATGAATTTCAATTCGCATAATTTTATTCTTAATTAAAAAAAATTCCTTTTATTGACAAGCAATTTTATAAAATTTCCAATTCAACAAATATAGGTTGGTTTATTCACAATACAAAATTCCAAACACTAATTTCAAAAAATATACAATAATTTCAACAAATTGAAAACCCTAATTTCAACAAATTGAAAACCCTAATTCCAAACCCTAATTTCAACAAATCGAAAACCCTAATTCCAATCATTAACAATTCTGAATTTTATGAATTTCAAGTCACATAATTTTATTCTTAATTAAAAAAAAATCCTGAAAACCATAGAGCATAATCATAAACCCTAACATTTTACAATTCAAAACCCTAATTCCAAACATTAACAATTCTGATTAGCAATTCAAAACCCTAACACATTTATAATTTCATTTTGTTCCAAGCATTAACAATAAACCAACCTAATCATAATTTTTGATTTCACAATTCAAAACCCTAACATTTTATGATTTCATAATTTCATAACCACACATTTAAAACCCTAACACATTTCATAATTCCAAACCCTAACACATTTAACCATACATTTCATAATTCAAAACCCTAACACATTTATAATTTCATAACCCTAATTTCTAATTTCAAATTCAAAACCACACATTCACAAACACAATAAACACATAAGATTGAAATGAGACACAGAGAGATAGATGCCATACCACGGACAGAGAGAGAGCAGAGACAGAGAGTGAGAGCAGAGTGAGAGTCTGAGAGTAGAGGGAGAGGGAGAGCGAGAGTGCGAATCTATAGCGATCCTGGTTGTCCCTTTACTGTTTTGTTGTATTCCAGACTCGGTTCCGTGATGTTGGTAGTGGTACACCTTGTTGTCATCCTTTAATTCCGCTTGATTGAGTTTTATGATGTATTGGGCAGAGTTGTTACAGGTTGGTTTGGCTTTGGTTTCAATTCTTTGTTGCCCAGATTTTAGGAGGTCCGCTCGAGCGGGTCTTCTTGCGTTCGAGCGGAGATTGCACACTTCCAGTTTTTCGTGTCCCTGCAAAACTTTTGCAGGTGTGTTTTTAATGCTCGAGTGGGTTTCTTTGCGCTCGAGCGGGTACTTTGGCGCTCGAGCGGGTAGTACCTTTGGGTGTAAGTTCTGGGAGGGAGAAATCTACGCTCGAGCGGACTGGTTTTCGCGCTCGAGCGGGTTTACTTTATTCTTGTGTCTTGGCACTCGAGCGGGTCTTTTTGCGCTCGAGCGGACCTAGTTTTTGTTCTTGACGCTCGAGCGTTGTGTTTTCCGCTCAAGCGGGAATGTCGTATATCAGTTGGCTGTGAGGCAGTTTTAAATCACTTTTTCTCATCCTTTCTCTCTCTTACTTTTCCGAAAAAGCCATTTGAGAGCCTCTCTCTCTAAAACCTTGCCTCCTCTCTAGATATTGATCTAGCTAGGGTGTTTTCCTCACCTTTGGTCTTTACAAAAAGGTTATTGATCGTCGAGGGCTATCTTTTGATCCGAGAAACTCGTGGTTTGGAGCAACTTCGTTTTCACCATCTTCTTCTTTGGGTCTCATCTTTTGAGGTAGGGATTCCTACTCACTCTTATGGTCTTTGACATAGATTTTTGGTAGTTTTGATAAAGTGTTGTAGTTGGGTGATTTTGGGACTTAGGGTTTCAAAATGTGTTAAAGAGGTTTTTTTTTGTGATTTTGGGCTCATAATTTGTATTTTGGGTTTCAAATGATGTTATTGATGTTGGTTGTTGATGTTTAGACCATTGGGTCAATATTGAGAAATGGGGTAGAAAACCCTAATTTGGTTGAATAAATTAATTGGTATAATTAATTTGGGAAATTTGTGGACTTATGGAATTGAGTTGGAAATAATGAAATTGGCTCATTATGTTGTGAAATGATGGAGTTGGATTTGAAAATTGCTCACTTTTGAAAACATTGATATTTTATCTGTTGGAATTTTTATTATCTGTTTAGAAATAATTGCTTAGGCTACCGGTGGAGGGTAGCTTTGATTGTTGTAGACAATGCATGATGATTAGGCAAACTAAAACTAATCAATTGGATATGTCATAGAGTATGACGGTTGATAGAATACATTAATGTTATGTATTGATTGATTGTGTATATGACCTTTGTGTATATATGCATTGTGTGTGTGGGAGGAGATAAGGGATGTACTCCACGGTTTAGGGGAAGATAGGGGATGGACCTCTAAACCGAATGTTGTTTGGAAGAAGATAGGGGATGGACTCCACTGATACAGCTCATATGCTTGTCAAATAATGTGTTGACACAGCTCATATGCTTGTCCTTGGAAGTGTTGATACAGCTCATATGCTTGTCATTGGAAATGTTGATATAGCTAATATGCATATCTGTCGAAATGTGGATACAACTTGTATGCTTATCTGTTGAGATGTTGATACAACTAATATGTTTATCTATTGTAAAAATGGAAAATGTTTAATATGAGTCATTGTCTCATATAAGCGGTTGACCAGGTTCTGAGCCATTGATGTAAACTGTGAAATTGATAAGAAATGAAACATGAACATATGGTCATGAAACGGAAATGGATTATGAATTGGTTTATGAAAATTGAGCATTTATCAATTGCTAATGTCTTAGTTATTGCTCATACTGTGTTTAGCATATCTCTACTGGGCGTTGGCTCACCCTTTATGGGACATTATTTTCAGGCACAGGTGGTATGCCATCTCCAAGGACATAGCTTGGATGATGATGAGAGTTGAAGACTCTTTTGTTTATTTTGATGTATTACTTGTAAATTCAAGCCAAGGGCTTAATATGTATTGAGTTAGCACTCCTCTTTTTGTAACCAAGTGTTAACTTGGAAAGCTGTAAGCCCATAGGGCATTTGCTTTTGTTGTTAACATGTAAGACAGTTGTAAGAATTACTCTGATGGATAGAAATGATTGATTTCTTTTATATCAATGCATGTTTCAAGTAATGGTTTTATGTATTATTTTGAGGGCGTTTCAGAATCAGAGAGCAGAGGGAGAGCTCGAGCAAGTAGAGGAGTCGTCTGAGAGGGAGGAGATCGAAATAAGTGTAAAAACGTGATTGCAAATGAGGGCTTTTCCGTTGTTTTATATAAGTTGTAAAAGCGTGTTTTCAATCCACGCTTTCATTAATGAACAGTGAAAGTGTGATTGTGAATCACGTTTTCTTAAAATTATATGAACAGTGAAAGCGTGATTCACAACCACGTTTTCTTCAGAAAAAAAAAAATTATATGTACAGTGAAAGCGTACCACGCTTTTTTCAGAAAACGAATTAAATGAGATGCACAATGAAAGCGTGGTTTCAGAAAAAAAATTTATGTTAAAAGCGTGATTTGCAACCACGCTTTCTTAATTAAAAGCGTGGTTTGCAATAGCGCTTTCACTATTCATCACATTTTGGGCTCCAAACAGTGAAAGCGCGATTTGTAATAGCGCTTTAGCCTAGTTTGGAAATTCCGTCCAAACTAGGCCTAGTTTGGGAATTAAGATACAAAATAGGCTTAATATGGGAAAAGCCTCCAACTGATTAGCAGAAACATGAGAGAGAGAGAGAGAGAACAAATGAAAAGCATATAGAAATGAAATAATCTATTGATATTGAAGCTTATCTGAAACAAACACAGGATACTGAAAATTAGTGCTGCTGCGTATAACATAGCCAATAAAACAAATTAATCACTTGTGATACTGTCTGGCGGAGTGGTTGAGCCCACTCCTTTATTCAAAGGGCACATATACAACATGAGTCACATGACAACCACCAACCACAAATTTCTGAGAAGCTAAGTACATATTCTACAAAATTTTTGTCCCCTGCCAAGGCTCATCCATAAGCTCTGCCAAAGCATCTCCATTTGGAGAAACGGACTAAGTACTAAAAATCAAGTTCAAATATCGTTAGTGGACATTTGATGTAAACTAAAAAATAAATTTCTCACTAAAAAAATCAAAAAACCACTAAGTTGTTTGTCATCCGCTAAAAGAGTCAAATGTCATATCAACTTTTTCACTCAAAACAAAAAAAAAACAAAAAAACAAAAAAAATTTTAAGCAACATCCCAAACATATTAGCTTTTTTAGCTCCTAAAATAGCCAAATTCCAAACCCACCCTTAGGCTTAAAAATTAATGGATACCAAGCAACATGCAACAAGCATCAAACGAATCAGAACTGAGCTGTTGTCCAACACCCCAACTCTTGAAAACAGTTCCCTTTTTTTAAGCATAGACAAAGAAACTTGTATTAGAGAATGTCCTGGTGGAAGAGGAGGGGAAGAAATCTTGATAAAATGGTGCTGTTTCTAATAACGATCCAGCTACAAATGTTGCTACGGTTTCCAATAATAATAACCCATCCTACATCATTATCTCTAGAAATCCTTAACCAAAGCACACTAATAAGGATGTATGATTACATCACTTTCCTGTATATAATGAGTCAAACTATATATTGAACTGAAACTTAGAAGTATATTCGAATCAAGAAATGTTCAACTGCCTTACTTTCCTTATATTTGTATCAAGATCGACCTCATGCTTGCCAGACATGTCAATAGCATCCACACTTAAAACTGCAAAAAAAAAAAAAAAAAAAAAAAAAAAAAAAAAAAACAATGTATAACACATAACTGCACCCATTATGTCAAGGTATTAAAAAAACATGGAGGATAAGAAAATAAACAAGGCAGTTATGTAGAACATAAAACATGCTAACCATCACAAGGTAAAGATGGGAAAGTCATATTTATGTGGATTGGAAGAGTTTCTCCACGTTTCAAGTCAACAGCCATCAAGTCGACAGTCATCTGCGAAGATATGAATTATCACAGTAAGAAGATATCTATGTAGTCTGAGAATCTTTTTGCGATAACAATAATAAAGAAAAATGATTAAGCCGCAGTGTACTCGTAATCTTACACTAAATTTAGAAGAAAATGGAGCATTACAGGGGGTAATTTAGAACAAATAACATACCTGGTGAACAGTATATGTGGTAATATAATATCTCAGCTCATGGAGGAACAAAGAGGCGATTATGACCAGACCCACAATGGAGACTGGACAAATAAACAAGGAAAAAAATTGCAAATTAGCGCTAGAATCAAACTGTCAAGTATATGATTTGAGTGTGAAAAATTTGTTTGGTTATGGATTTTAAAAAGAGTTTTGAATTGAATTTTGGAAGGAGTTTTGAGTTTTTGAAATTAGAAAAGTTATTTGATTTAAAAACTCACAACTCATAACCAACCACACAATTTAAAATTATATTCAAAACTCATATAAAAATTAAAAAAATTCTGAAAATATTTTTTATTTATAATATAAAAATAACAGGTGCTAAAAAAAAAACCGAACACTATTCCGGTGAGACGTTAAGAAGGACGACCGAGTTAACCAAATTTTCTCGGTTGGAAAGAAATTTTTAAAAATAAGTATAAAATTATAATTTAAAAATTCAAAATAAACTCTACACTCATAAAAATTGGTGGAAATGTGTTTGCCAACGTAACCAAACACAGCCTTTTAATATAACTCAAAATACCACACCCACGCGTTCACGCGTCAACAAAAAAGAAGAGAATATATGCCATGGTTGAGAAACACCCTGCCATTCCATACCCAACTTTGTTCTTCATCCATCTTAAAACCCTAGTTACCTTTCAAAACCCTAGTTAACAATCTCTCCAAATTCATTTCAATGTCATCTGAACCTCAAAACCCTCCAATGGAACTACAACAACAGCACCAAGAGCAAGAAGAGGGTTCCACTCAGAGCAAGAAAGCCGCCAAGAAGGAAGCCGCCAAGTTGGAGAAGCTGCGCCGCCGCGAGGAAAAATCTGCCTCCGGAGCCTCCGCCGTGGACGCCCCTGACCCCCTCGCCGCCAACTACGGTGATGTCCCACTCGAGGACCTCCAGTCGAAGGCCGTCTCGGGCCGAAAATGGATCAATATAAAAATAACAGGTGCTAAAAAAAAAAACCGAACACTATTCCGGTCAACCGGGAGACGTTAAGAAGGACGACCGAGTTAACCAAATTTTCTCAATTAGAAAGAAATTTTTAAAAATAAGTATAAAATTATAATTTAAAAATTCAAAATAAACTCTACACTCATAAAAATTGGTGGAAATGTGTTTGCCAACGTAACCAAACACAGCCTTTTAATATAACTCAAAATACCACACCCACGCGTTCACGCGTCAACAAAAAAGAAGAGAATATATGCCATGGTTGAGAAACACCCTGCCATTCCATACCCAACTTTGTTCTTCATCCATCTTAAAACCCTAGTTACCTTTCAAAACCCTAGTTAACAATCTCTCCAAATTCATTTCAATGTCATCTGAACCTCAAAACCCTCCAATGGAACTACAACAACAGCACCAAGAGCAAGAAGAGGGTTCCACTCAGAGCAAGAAAGCCGCCAAGAAGGAAGCCGCCAAGTTGGAGAAGCTGCGCCGCCGCGAGGAAAAATCTGCCTCCGGAGCCTCCGCCGTGGACGCCCCTGACCCCCTCGCCGCCAACTACGGTGATGTCCCACTCGAGGACCTCCAGTCGAAGGCCGTCTCGGGCCGAAAATGGATCGAGATCGCGAATTTGAACGAGGAGTTGAAGGACCAGAACGTGCTGATTCGGGGGCGAGCTCATGCGATCCGCAGTGTGAGCAAGAAGATGGCGTTTTTGGTTGTTAGAGAGCGGGGATTCACTGTGCAGTGCGTGCTCTCTGTTGCTCCGGACGTGGTTAGTCTCCAGATGGTGAAGTTCGCCACTGGGTTGAGCAAAGAGTCGTATGTCGATGTCGAAGGGACTATCTCTGTTCCTAAGGATCCCATTATAGGTGCTTCTCAGCAGCAGGTATAATTGCATTTCTGTGTCAATTTTGAGAATGATTTGAGATTGACAATTTTGAATCCTCAATTCACTCACAATGACATGATAAGTGACTTGGGCCATAGATGGTTGAGTTTGTGACAAATTAATAGTTGGATTATGCACAACTTCCCTTAGGGGCCTTAAACCAATTGACATGGATTTATCCACATCATGGTGGATAAATTAAAGGGTGTCAAGCTTTTTCGTGACGGAATTTTGGGTTTCGTTTTATAAATTATACGTACGGAAAATTACTTGACAATCATGTTTTGATGTCAATGCTTATTGATTCACAGGTGGAAATTCAAGTGAAGAAGCTTTACTGCATCAGCAAGGCGGTTCCTGCGTTACCTATTAACATTGAGGATGCTGCACGCGGTGAAATTGAAATTGAAAAGGCTTTACAGGTATGTTTATATATCTTTTCTTACATGTACATCAGATATCTCTTCTTTGGAAAATTGACAGTGTGCCCACTCATTTGTAGATGAGCTTCCATTAAATTTTGTGTTTTTGTATTATTTGACAAATTTGACTTAGGTACTTACCCTCTAAGGGTCTATGTTAATCTAGTCTCTCAATGGGTGCAGGCTGGAAAACAGCTTGTTCGTGTCAATCAAGATACCCGTTTGAATTTCAGGGTTCTTGACCTGCGTACTCCTGCTAACCAAGGAATATTTCGCGTTCAGTGCCAAGTTGAAAATGTAAGTCCGCATCTTGTAGTCTACCTATTTTATTTGCATCCATTCATTTTTTATAAATTATAATGTGCGTGGTTTCTTGGAAAACTATACGCCATTGCTTGAAGGAAAGAAAAAGATATATGAAGTCATATTTTCAAAATTTCTTATATTAGTTATGGTGATTGGGCATGGGGTCAGTTGGTAAAGGGAGCGTGGTTGTGTCTTACGTTTGAACCTGTTCTAGAAAAAATGAAATGAAAAATGAGACTGGATATCGTTTGTATTTACTCATGAATGAAAAAAAAAAATATGGTAGTGTGCCAATCAATGTAACCAAACATGTGGGTTGGTTGAAATGAAGTTCAATAAATTACTGGGTATATTTGCCAATAGTATTGCCAAGCTGAACAGGACTTGGTCCTTAATTCAGTTTCACTGTTGTGCAGATATTCAGGCAGTTCTTGCTAGCTGATGGCTTTGTTGGGATTCATACCCCAAAGTTGATAGGAGGCTCCAGTGAGGGTGGCTCAGCTGTTTTTAAGCTGGACTACAAAGGCCAACCTGCATGTCTGGCACAGTCACCTCAGCTTCACAAGCAACTGGCAATTTGTGGTGATTTTGGTTGAGTTTTTGAAATAGGTCCTGTTTTCAGAGCAGAGGACTCCTACACGCACAGACACTTATGTGAGTTTACAGGTCTTGATGTTGAAATGGAAATTAAGGAGCACTACTCCGAGGTAAAGTTGAATTGTTCACTTCTTGAAGTGCCAAGACTACCAACTAGTAATGCAATTGTCTCTGTGGTAGTAAGATGCTCTAGCTTCTTTTTACAGGTGATGGATATTGTGGATCGGTTATTTGTTGCAATGTTTGATAGTTTGAATGAGAAATGTCAGAAAGAGCTTGAAGCCATTGGGAAACAGTATCCATTTGAGCCTTTGAAGGTCACATCATTGTTTTCTCATTGTAGTTGAAATACTTTACATCATATTTCATTATTGGAAATAATAACATATTATATACGCCTGCTTACCAGAAAACTCTTATAAAAAGTAATTGTATTGATCACGCTAAAATATATTTTATACTTCTGTCTGGGAATTTTTGTGATAATTCAACAATTCTATTAGTCTGTAGATGGTCCTATTTTGTTACTGATTATTGGCACTGATTGGATATCCATGCAGTACTTGAGAAAGACTTTACGACTTACATTTCAAAAGGGGGTTCAAATGCTAAAGGTGACACCTCTCCCTCTCCCTCTCCCTCTCTCTCTAATGTATTATTTACTGAAAGCATTGTTGTCAGATTGAGAATCACATTGTGATATTTGAATTGAAATAGTAATTTTAAGAATCGTGAATTGGATCAAATCTAGAATCATAAAATTCGGCACAAACTAGCAAAAGATTTTGGGATGTTTTTTATACCTTAGTTTTTCTACAAGGACGTGATTACAAATTCTAGTTGGGAATAAATTTTTTGTAGCAAGAAATGATGGTCCAAATCCCACAAACCACAAATTATTTAAAGACCATAATATATTCTTTCTTGACATTAAACAAATAGACCTAGAAACTGTAAATAGAGTTGAGTAAGATGAAAAAGTAATCGAGAAACATCTATTTTAAAATATATAGTACTTTAAAATGTGTATGCTTATTATTGCAAAAAAACTAAAAAAATAAGAAGAAAGGGAACCGTTAGGTCTGATTGAGAAACATTTATAATCCACAAATAGGTTCAAGAATGGATTGACCACTGCCAAAACCAACTATTCAAAATAGACAAAAGATGTACTCTGTAATCTAAAAAAGGCTCTAACTTTTGGTAAAAATATCTTCTATTCTTTCAGACCACACACTAACCACATCAAATTCAAGGGAACCAAACACCATGCCTTCCTTCTCCAAACCGATTTTTCGAGAGTAAAGAGTGCATCAGCGCCCTGAGGGAAGACCACTCAACTCCAAACGAGAGAAGTCGCAAAGACTATAATTCATGTGCCGCCTCATAATCAATCTCCATTTTTCTTGTAAAAGTGGTCCCAGAATTTGAAACCGAACATTTGTTTTTTCTCCTCCATTAGAATTTCTTGTTGCATTTTTTTACTGGAAAGGCCTACGTCTTACCAGTAAAGATTTGTTGAAAAATTTCTAGGAATTTCCCCGAGAATAGGATACACTTCAAAATGAAATAAAAAATTTGGTGAAGTGTTGTTCACGTTACATATTGAAGACG